TCTAATCTAAACTCACCCAATATTTCATCTCTCGGTATTACAAACATCTCTCACGATACGATCGAAAATTCTCATTTCCTTCAAATTGACGGTAACCGTCAACGATATTTCAGTACCGTCAGTTATCGCTTGCTGGCGTGACAGAGAGGAATACCCGATGCAACTGTAACAACATCTCAAAAACGAATTTTCAAATGTGTTGGAAAATGGATTATGCATACAAGTACGATATCATACATGTGAGGGAATATTTTGCAATGATCGATCGTCATTGCATGCAAGTGACAATAAAAATAAAAATATATACCGCCACAATTGTCTTCTAAATTTTATTCCACCGTTACTTTTCAACCGTTTCACACTGTGAACATTTTATCCATCTATCGTAGAATAAAATTTCACATTTTCTCATTCACTAACACCTTCGCGTTGTGCAGTCATCAGTTATCAGCCTGTTACCGCTTTGCTCCGTGGAGGTGTCTTCAGGATATAACGGAAACACGTGATAATACTGTTGGTATACGTATATAGGTGGAAATATACGTGATGCAATAAACGATTTTCGCGCCTAGTAAAAGTGATTTTATGAAACATGCTAAGGCTCGTGGATATTTTTAGGGGTGGGGTTAAACGAGGGTGAACTATTCACTGGATGGATATTGTATCCTCATTTCTAGGGACGTTGGGTGAAGGGAGAGGAAGTATCAAGACTTATCGTGACTCACGAACCAACAGTTGAGTTTACGCGGAATTTTCGCTTCAGTCGGTGAAGTGGCATCATGGCTATCAGCTTCTGGAGATGTGTAAGCCTCTGATTGTTTCGTAATTGATAGTTATAGTGTTGAAAATTAGTGAAATCGTCAACACCGTTTTTTTTCTTTATGGAAAATTGAGGTAAAACGGACTCAATTTAGTCGTCAACAACTCGGGAACGACAGAGTGGAATTTCACGTTTTTTTTTTCATTTTAAAGGTATTTATGCCACTCATGCCTGAAACCGGCTGGATTACACACTCGACGCTTTGCGTCTCGTGTCTAATTCAGCCGGTTTCAGGCTTCGTGACATAAAATTTTGTTCAGTACTTGTTGGGAAATTTCGTCCTTAACGTGTGTGGTTACATCACTCGCCTTCGGCTCATGCTGTAAACCCCACACACGTTAAAGACGAAATTGCCCCACACGTGCTGAAATATACTATTTTATGGGCTTCAAAATGAGACGTGATTCATCCAAATCGTATCATTTGGTCAGGGGATATTGACGATTAAATATGGTTTTACCCCTCATTCTTCCTCTTTTTCCACACGGAGCGACAAGTTGGATAAAAATTACCTAGAAAATTGTGGCAAATTCTGTTGTATTGTAAAACGATTTTTTGTGATACCTACCGGAAAAGTGCACTTTTCGAAAAGGTTTAGTGTGAGTTAAGCGATTGTTTTCCGCACGGTGAGCGTAAAGTTTAAGAACGTGCGTAAAGGAAATTTCGAGTTCGTAAAGCGAAGCTTGAACTTTCCGCACTCGTGCACAAAATCAACTACCGTACCCCCACTACCGTTCCGAACAGTGAACTTAGCAAGTTTCACAAAAAATTGTACGTGTTACACGTGCGTGCGAGAAAGTGGAACTTTACGGTAGTCAGTTTTCGATGAATATCTCGGGATCTAAAACAGATAGCAAATTTTTTATTACAAGCTTTTTTGTAGAGCGGATTAAGATCTACAAAAAAGGTTATTACAAAAATTTCTCTATCTCCCTTAGATTCGGAGATATTCCTCGAAAACTCAGCTAAGAGCTAAGTCGACTTAAATCGTTTTTCCGCTTCGAAGAATATTTTACGATTCGTTGGATAAAAAAAATACATCTACGGAGGCAAAAATTATCTTCCTGTACAGTAAAATTTATCATACCGGTAGGGCATTTTTTTTCTTGGAAGTGAAATTTTACCGAACGCGTTCGGTAAAAAATCATTCTCCGTTACAGAACAATTATACGCAATATTAAGCAATTATTTACGTTCAACTGGGATAATTTTTAATGAAATGCAAGATAAATTTTACAGTTTCGGCAGAAATTACCCTCACGTTCAGTAAATTTTCCCGGGGCAACGGATAAAAAATCACTATTCGTCTCGCACTTTTTCCCCGATATAGCATGAAAAAGTACTGAAAATCGAGTTCGCTCCCCGATTACTGGACTTGTTCTGTACTTTTTCTCTAATTTTTTCTCCGTGCACTTTCCAAGAATTTATTTGTATTCATTTGATTTTGTTATTCAGCTGGATGGGAAAGCTGGTCGTCCTAGGCTTCGAAATGCCCTCCAACAGCGGAATGTACCAATTGTTAAGGTACAGTAATGTGTTCATTACCCTGAGAGAAAAAATTACCTCTGCCGAAAAACTATTTGTTCTACGTGCGAATATTTGATGGAGTGGAACAGATCTATTTGAGGGAAATTGATCAGCTTAATAAGCTGTTAGCGAATTACTCTTTAAATTTCAAGTCGAAAATCTTTGAATTTTTAGCAACGAATAATTTCATGGAATCTCCATTGATCTTGTTATTAAGAAATCAGTCACTTTACTTGAATATTCAGTAGTAATACCACTAGTGCTTCAAAATTATCGGATATTTTTCGATAGCTTTGTTGCCTAGGAACGATTGTGTCAAATTTTGCAGGATTAAAATCCCGAGTATGAAGCACGAGCGATTTTTCTGCAAAATTTGACACACTCGCTCCTAGGCAGGGAAGCTTGAGGAAAATATCTGATTAATTTTGAAGCACGAGTGGTATTTGACGGATTATTTTTCCACTCGGATTTCGGCCAAGCACCGTGCAGTGAACAGCATCCGGATACATTTACGCAGCCAGACATTTACAACCCACTTTTTTATTTATATGTCACACAGAGTATTAAACGTGAAATGCGTTGAAAGATGAGAAACAGTTGAAAAGCTGCTAGTGAATTTCCGTCGAAATTTTTTTAGAAATTGCCGAAATAAAACTGTTGGACAGCCTCAAATATTACGCTCTGATTGGCTGAAATCCGAGTGAGAAAAATAATCAATGAAATTTGATTTCTCAGGTTCATCACGTATGAAAAAATTCAATAGGCTTATCCTATAGGACTTCCTATAGGATTTCCTATAGGTTTGCCTATAGAACAATTCTATGGAGAATTGAAACACTTTCTATAGGATTTTGTTGCCAAGTCTGCGGGAATTAAGATTTCCTATAGATGAAAGATTCCCCATAAACGAATTCCTATGGCCCGATTCCCATAGACATCTCCCCGATAGAAATCCCATGGTCATTTATAGAACAATTTCTATAAACAATCAAATTCCCCATAAACGAATTCCTACGGCCCAATTCCCATAGACATCTCCCTAATAGAAATCCCATGGTCATTTATAGAATATAGTTTCTATGAAAATTGCAAATCCCTATACACGAATTCATATAGCCCACTTCCCATAGTCATCTTTCCTATAGGAAACCCACGGTTATTCATAGAAAAGTTTCTATAAAAAATTCGAATCCCTATAAAAGACTTCATATGGCTCAATTCCCATAGACATCTCCCCGATAGAAATCCCATGGTTATTCATGGAACAATTTCTATAAACAATCAAATTCCCATGAACAGATTCCCTATAAACGAATTGCTATGGCCCAGTTCTCATAGTCATCTTTCCTATAGATATTCCATGGTTATTTAAACAATGTTCTCCCTGAATAAAAAATTCTATAAGTCATCCTACAAAGAATCCTCTATAGATCTTCCATCTATAGGAAATCTTAATTCCCGCAGACTTGGGAACGAAATCCTATAGAGTGTTTCAATTCTCCATAGAATTGTTCTATAGGCAAACCTATAGGAAATTCTATAGGAAGTCCTATAGGATAAGCCTATTGAATTTTTTCATACGTGATGCAACAATGAAAATTACTGAAGATCGCGAAAATTCAGGCAACTTTTCTTCTGTATTTCTAATCTATTGAAAATTCAATTGAATGTATTGCTTAATTTTCAAGATAGGTTTGAAAATCCAAATTGTTCTTGAAAATTCAATGATCATTCATCATGAAAAACTTAATTTTATTGAATTTTCAAGATGAATCAGGAATTCCATAAGCAATTTATTTTGAAATTAAATTCAAGTTCAGAATATTGAGAATTCAACTGCATTTGTGACTTAAATTTCAAAAAATTTCTAACAGTGTAGGAAAAAATTCAATATCCTTCACAAAAATTCAATGTTTGTCGGGATCATCAAAAATATTCCTAGAAGAATTTAAACTGTTGGCAGGAAAAAATATAATTTATTGTAGGGTAAACAGATTAATTTCTGGACGGGGGTTAGTTTCTGTACGATTTCAACGTACATTTAAGGTACTTGCTCAGTGAGTTATACTTGGTGAAAATTTCGCAATGAACTGAAGACCTAAAATTTGAATCATATGTTATTGAGCATATGTGAAAAGGATTTCCAAAATTTCAAGTATTTTTTTCACGTGAATTTTTGAGATATGCATCGACAAAAACTTGAAAAAGACAAAAATTGAATGTTTGACGATGGATATCTCAAAAATTCGCGTGGAAAAAATGCTTGAAATTTTGGGAGTCGTTTTTACATGTCCTCAACAACATATGATCCAAATTTTAGGTCTTCAGTTCATGACGAAATTTTCACCAAGTATAACTCACTGAGGAAGTACCTTAACCCTAGTTTGGTCACCATAGGAGGGAAACGCCGCAGGTCGATTTTTTTTTCTTACCATTGACTGGCTGATCGGAAAAATCAAAAAAAAATTGGAATGCGTCAATTCAAGTATCTAGAAAATTATAATATTTTTTAAAATTATTTATATCCACAATTCCTGAAGACAAAAAAATTATTTCTAACAGACGGACAATTTTTTCCCATGTTAAATGAAATTGCTCGTTGTGCGACGTTAGCGAAGTCTCGCTAAACGCGCCCGGGCAGTATAGAGTGAATTCGGCAACGCTCGGGCCTAAATAACACAGCGACGATTCCCTGCGGAGGTGACCAAAGTCCCAAGTTCTCATATGGTGACCAAACTAGGGTTAATATTACATAAATAAAATGAAAATTGTACTGATTATTTCACCTTTCAATAACATTACTCGTGTATTATCATGTTATTAATTATTTTTTCTATTGATCGACATTTAATAAATGAAAAAAAATATGGCCCAGTCGTCCAAAAATTAGGGGTTTCGGCTGCATTCAACTCTTTCTTAACTTAATTAGTCTTTGCTTTGTTATTTTCCCTTCAAATAATTTTTTTTCTGCTAATTAAAATATTCTTGAAGGTATAGAAGCCATCATATCCCCATTTAGATGATTCTTTTATTTTAGATCCTATCACGAAACTCGAATTTCCCTTGACCATCCAGCAATTGGTCTGTTCACCCTACGACAATCATTTGATCTGAGAGAACTCCATAGGTTTACACCATAGAAAGAATAATTGACGAAAGAATATTTTTTCGCAAAAAAAATTTTCCCCTCGAAATTATTTAGCTTTTCCAATAACGTACCTTTCGGCAAGAAAATTGTAGTTTCCTCTTGAAATTATCATTTGTTCGATGGAAATTACAAGTGTTTATTGGACAAAGATATATACTACTCAATAGCATTCACTTGATAAAACCTGAACCTCATATAATTCTGTGTAGAACAAATGTATTTACCCGAAAGACAGAAATGTCTCACGAAAACAATTACTACCACGAAAATTATCATGTTTTGGTGGAAACTTTCTTTTTTGTTCACAACTAAATTCATTCAACACGACAAAAGGTCTTCAGGGGAACATATAATTTTTGGCAGAACTAATTTTTTCACTCATTGTAGTCATTTATGGTTCATGTTGGTTTTTACGAATTTTTTGTGTTTTTGGATTTTTTGGGGTTTGCATATTGGAATTATTTGAATTAAATTAAACGGATCCCGCGCTTTTTGCTGAAGAGCGATCGTATTTTGAGGGCTCTGTGTGAGTTGGAATCGATTGCAATGCAACCGAGAGTGTTGTTTGGTCTCCAAGGCTCTGATAGTGACTTTCGGTGACATTTTTTTCATTTCTGTACCGATAGGGAAGTTATTTTGGTAATTGGTCGTAATGATGATGGCACCAACTATCGAAGTGTCTGCGCGGAGTAGTGTTGATTATGATCAAGTTAGTCATTTTTAATTTTATTGATAATTTAATTTTAAATTCGTAGAAGACAAAAAATTGTTTTCTTTTTCACTTGATTTTTTGATTAATGGCGAGTGAATCTCTTCTTTCTGTTCAATCTCATGAGAATTGAGCAACAGGATCGGCTAGAGATGATTTCATAATCATAATTTTTTACGTGATCTATCGTTATTTTAAATGATTTGGAATTTTGTTGATAGACACCGACTTATCAGAACAGCTATCAGCTCAAAGCGAGGAATCCCTTCAGAACGGATCCTGTGGATGAAATTGTGAAAAATGTCATGCAGATACGGTTGGAAGATATGACGTATGATGCTGCCATAGCTCCAAAGTTGTGTGCTCATATTGCTAAGGAAATTAGGAAGAAAATTTTGAAATTGGAATTCGACAGGTGAGTGATGGAATATTTTTTCTCGCTTTTATTTTGATCGCATTGTTGAAAAATTGAAATTTTTGGACAGTTGACTAGCTATTTTCAGAGGATGTTGAATTAGATTTAGATTCCCTAATTTACTAGAATTTTTTTATTAATCTAGGAATATTCAGAATCAAATTGCGCTAAATCTTTAATTAATTGAGAATTCATGAATGTATTTGCTTAAATTTCTCTATTTCTATCAATTTTCGTGGAATCATTGACTAAAATTTACTGTTTTTATCGATTTTTTCATGAATTTGTGAAATTCCTTGAAATTTAGGAGAAAGTTTGGAAATTGGATGATCGGATGATGCTGAATTACATTGAGGGGGGTAAGAATTATGAAATTTCAGATATTACGAACAATTTTTTTTTATTCATTAATTCTATTTTTCATTTTCTTTCATCAAGAACATAAAAAAAAAAACTGGGAAAATTTGACCTGAGGAAATTCTATAAACAATATTTCAATAGAAAAAGGTGTAGAGAAAAATCGAATTCTAGAGACTTTTTCTATAGAATATTTTCCATTGAACATTTCAATAGAATCGACCAAAACAATGGAAAGTTCAATAGAAATCCAATAGAATTGTCTAGCTAATTCGCTAATCACGTTTCACGTTTTTCTATGAAATTTTTTCATACGTGACAACTTCAGTGAAGAAAAAATGTGAAAGTTTGTACCGAAGAATTTTCACAGAAAATATTCCAATAGAATTATTTGTATAGAACGATCGGATAGATTTCCGACTGGAAATTTCTATCCGAAAATTGCACAAAAAAGCTGGGGAATAAAAACAAGTTTTTCTCAAAGACAATTTGAGATAACGTTTTTTTTACTGAACTGAATTGATTTTAAGTTAGACGGATTAAGTGAAAACAAAATGAATGTGAAATTTGATATCACAAGAGTTCATGCTCCTGATACATCAATGTTGATGTCTCGTCGGTCGTAAGTAAATTATTTAAATTTTATTTTTCTCCTGAATAATTTTCTCTAAACTGGACTTGAGACGAGTATAACTTTTTCGCTAGTAAATTAGCAATTTGTTTCTGGATGGTAAATAAGGAAAGAAGAAATACCAGCCATGAAACCTTAATATGATCCCTAAATGTCTCAAATGTCTAACATGACCCGACTAAATTAAAATTGAACTGATTTAAACTTTCACTGAACATTGATTAAACCTTGACGAAACCTTGGTTAAATCCTGATTAACCTTCAACTAAATCTCGACTAAAACCTGACTAAACCCCGACTAAACTCTGACTAAACCCTGGCTAAACAACCGACTAAATCCTCACTGAACCATGATTAAACCTCGATTAAATGCTTTTTAATGCTATAATTTCAAAGCAAATGATGGGATCGCCACTATCTTCGAACTCGACCGAGATAACATCCAAACGAATATTTTAAGCCATAATTGAAAAGATTTCGACTATTATTTTTTGAATGATCGTCGAAAAATTGAATTAGAAAAAAAAGCTTACACACATATATACATACATATCGTTAGCTGTATAGAAACGTAACGTAAGTGCCAAAATACAAGAATTCAATAGAAAAAGCGAAACAACAAACAAATATGGTAACTGGAATTAAAAATTCAAAACTTCTGGTATGAGGATATTTTTTGGCACTTACGTTAGTCTTCTATAGAGCTAACGATATGTGGGCATCTACATGAAAAGGGCCCACTTTGTCGGTTTGGAGTTACATATATTGCGATAATCTTAGTGAGATTCCTCACATTTTGAGGCCAAAATTAATACGACAGTATGAAAAATTACGTCAGTATAAAAGATCAAAAATTCAGTTTAACATTGGTTTAAATGGAAGATGTGAACACAAAAACGTGAATATCTCGCAAAATAAACGCGACAAAGTGGGCCCTTTTCACGTGGACGTACACATATATACATACGGACATGAAACCGGCGACGGTGGCCAAAGTGGTTAATCACTCGGCCGGACGGCGGGATCCGTGAGGTAATTGGAATTTTTAATTTTTCGAAAACCGTCGGACGGAAGTCTAGACCTCTAAATAACATTTAGACATTTAGAGAATCATCGGAAAATGTTTTCCTAACACTTCTCCGATGATTCTCGGTGTCTAGACCGAGAAGTATTAGGAAAACCTTCTCCGATGATTCTCGGTCGATGGACGCCCGTATCGACCAAGGTTTTTCCATGGTTTCCCTTGATCACCAGGAGAGTCTGTACGTGAGGTGCAGCTCCTGGGGTACAATACGACTTGTGTAAAAATTTTCATTGTGTTTACAGATGCCGAATAATCGTCCTAGTGACTATGATAGAAAAAGCGAGTCAAGCTGTAAACACCAAGATGGGCTTTGTGTGGGACGTCGAGAGGGATAATTACGCAACCTACAACTTTGAAACCCCATCGTTTTACGCTCACTGTCTCGTTATCGGCGCTTATTACGAGTGAGGAAAATCGCTGCTACGTTAATTCTGTGTCGAGTTAATTATCGATCCACAGCGACAATCGTGTCTGTAAATATATTCTCTCAGTGCCGAATAGAACTACTTCTATTTTTCTTGTGTCATAAAAAATTGTGATTACGATAATCGGGAGAAGTGTATATCAATTAATTTATCATTTTTAAAACGTTCCTTCATTAATTCGAAGAGCATTTTGTTATTTCAACTTTTCAATTTTCAAATTTGCATTTGATCAAATGCACTTTCTAATGATCTAACTAGTGAATCAATCAAACAAAGCAATTAAACTTTATTTTAAGATTGTAAAATCTTGGCAGAAATGTCTGTAGCTTGTTTCCGACTCTAGTAGTGTTTTTTCTAGATTCGAAGATCTTGATGAAAATTTTAAGCTCAAATTATGTTAAATACAAAGTTGGTGAATAAAAAAAGTCATTTTACCTTGAAGATGAATTTTAGAAGAATTATTTGCGATTGAAAAACTATGAAAAGAGTTTTATAGAACTCTTAGCTAAAAGAAGGCCATTAAATTTTGCTTCTAGATCAGTTTTTTGTTGCATATTCCACAATTCCACAGATATTGTAAAATTTGATCAAAAATTTCTGCAGCTTTATTTCAACTCTGAGTGTTTCTTCTAGATTTGAAGATGTTTATGAGGAAATTACGCTCAAGTTATGTTAAATACAAAGTTGGTAAATAAAAAGTTTTTTTTTTGCAAACATTTCAAGTTTTTGAAAAATAGCTTTCTATTCATCAAAAATAATGAAAAATGTTTTATAGATCTCTTAGCTTCCATTTCAATCAAATAAAAAAAATCACCAGTTATCTACCATGTCAGTATTTCTCCACGTGCATAAGAAATTGACTAAAAGAATTAATTCAGTAGCGAAGTGGTAAAGCGGTTTAAGTCGACTTATCTCCCAGTTGAGTTTTCGGGTAATATTTCCGAATGTAAGGGAGATAGCGAAATTGTTTACATTTGTTGTAGCTCTCAATCGGCTCTACAAAAAAGGTTATAACAAAAATTTTGCTATCTCCCTTAAATTTCGCGATATTCATTGAAAACTGGCCAATAGTCAAAATTGACTTGTACCGTTTTACCACTTCGCTGGCAAATTATATGTTAAAGACAATTCGACCAAATTTTCTAGAACACCCGCTAGGTCTCTCAAATTATTTAACCCGTGCACAATTGATTTTCTCTACTTCAATACCTCAGTGACACCTCACTATTGGAAAAAACTAATGTCATTCTTCACGGTACCGAACAATGTGGAAAAAAATCGAAAAAAACGTCATAAAATCGAAGTAGGTCAGCAGTGAGGGCAATGGCTCCAGAGAAACCCCGTAAACAACGGGAAAAAAGGTGAATAGTGAGGTAGCATTAAAAAAAGATCCTACGAGCACTAGTCGACACACCTACGATACACGAACGGAGAGAAAAATACATGACAATCCCGTGCGAGTCCCTTCAAAAGCTAGTGTGCTACATACTAGTCGTGGGACCAAACAGGGGTCACTAAAAAATTTGAATGTAGCACTTTAGTTTTTGAAGATCTCAGGCTACTTTTCCTTGGGATTTCTTTAAAAATTCATGTGCCACATCCGCATTTTTTGTGACTATGGTTTGATCCCATGGGCACACTGAATTTTACTAGGACTCTCTCCGTGTAGTACTTTTTTTACGATGTTTTTATTCAACATCATTTGGACATATAAGAAAAACAAATATAAAATAACTTTTCTAGAATTATTCTGGTTCTGTGTAAACTTTGGTCATACTGTGACTCTCGAGCATAATCTGATTATTTTCACGCACGAAAAAATTCAATAGAAAAACCTAGCGAATTCGTAAGAAAATTCTATTGGATCTCTATTGAACTTCCTATTAGTTTTTGGACGATTCTATTGAAATGTTCAATAGAAAAAGTCAACAAAATCAGATTTTTCTATGTAACTTATTCTCTTCAGATATTTTCTATAGAATTTTCTCGGCTCAAATTTTCTAAGTTGTTTTGAAATCTATTCTGTTTTTCTTTCTTTCTCATCAAAAAAATCAAATAAAGAACTTAGAAAATTTGAGACGAGGAAATTCTATAGAAAATATCTCAGTAGCTTAAGTTATATGAAAAAATTGAATTTTTTTTTATTTTTCTATAGAATATCTTCTATTAAAAATTTTAATAGAATGGGCCAAAAACTAATAGAAATTTCAATCGAATTCCAATAGAATTGTCCAGCGCATTCGCTAGATTTTTCTATTAATTTTTTTCATCCGTGTTATGTTCGCTTAATTATTATTATTACATAATAATAATTCGATAAAATTTTTAGTCGCCAATTCTCAATTTCTGTAATTTATTCTATTCATTCTATCAAAAAACAAGGATAGAAATCGCATTTATGGGTATTCTTCCATTATTCGAAAAAATTTATCGATTTTAAAATTTTTCGGAGACATTGAAAAATTAATTTTTTTGTTTTTCCCACCCACTTTGTTTTGAATTTTTTGTAATTCTTCTCGCTGAAATATTGCTGTCCCTCTAACATTTGAAGAAAAAAAGTGATTCGAAGTTCACAGTCGACATAAAAGAAAAAAATCCATTTTCTAGCCGATTAGCCCTTTCTGATTCGTTTTTCATTTCCTTTTCATAATAATAATTGGAATCCGACCATAGGAATGAGGAGTACCGATATCCTTTCACCATAGGAAGGGAAAAATAGATTTTTTTAATTTTTAGGAACACATGGAGATTTTTCTATTACTTGAATGAGATTTCGAATGACTTTTGTTTTGTGTGTTTGTTTCGATCACAAAGAAAGAACATTTTTTATTGTCTTTAACATAATTCCCCTTCATTCAATGTAGTAACTTGTGAATTAAGGAAAAAAATATTATAAGAATAAGAATGTATAAAATTAAATTGATCTAATTGCCAAGACGGAAATGGAAATAAAATAAAATTAAATTGTATAAATAAATAGGATAAGTTAATCTTCGCTAGTTGCGTAATAGCAGTGCATCCTTTAGGTTCAATTTTACAACGTTCTGATTGCATATGTTATCTGATTGATTTAAGTGCTCAAAAAAAAAATTATAATCGTGGTCGGAAAAAGCACTTGCGCATTGTAGGAGAAAAATAAGTGTAATTTTGCTTACAAACGAATAATGTATCATTATAACCGAGTATCTGGAATTTTTATTCCTGTAAAGATCAGTTGAACGATAATCCTTCTCTTCAATCCTTCAAAGAGTAGTTATATCGATTATTGTGTCATCTTATTCCGTGCAGTACTCTGGGCGTCGTCCACGGGTAGAGGTCACGCAGAACCGAGTGAGATCACGGACTGCTCATCATCATTACTATTACTATGTATACACTTCCATGGGAGAAAACGCCCTAGCTCATAGTATCGCGAGTTAGACGAGGAAAGACGGAATTACCTACAGTACGTCTTGTATAACGAGTTTCAACATTTATGTACCTATGTGTACACCTACATACCTCAATACGTATGTGTTTTGTGTACAAACAGAGGCCGGAGAAATGAGTGTGACTCCAGTGGAGTTACAACCGATCCTGTGAGACTGAAAGAGTAGTTTCTTCGGGGCCGGCAGTTGATAAAGACCTGGAGAACGTGACTTACGTGCGTAATCGGGGCTGATGTCACTGTGAAATTATTTCGTTATTAAAATCAATTTTCAACAATTGAGGATATTTTTATTCGTGCTAATTGGGACTGGAGACAGAGTCGTGTTGAACGTCCGGTTTTTCATTTCATTCAAGTTTTGGTGAATTGGAGAGGCAGCACGCTCAGGTGAGTGCAGAGATCGGTTCACTCGGCCGCAATAAATCGGGTGGTGATGGGCCGCCCAGAAAAATTATTTGAATTAAATAAACTTCATTTGAATCTAATACAGGTTATTTTCGTATGAGTGCGTAAAAGTGTTTTTCATCACTCGTGCGTAAAGTGAAATTTTAAATCCCGCTTCTTCCACATTGTGATGAAAAATAGGGTTGGATACTAGTAGAAAAAACAGTCTTGGACCCTTCGGAGGGTAGCACTCGCCTTCGGTTCGTCCTGCAACCACATATTTTCCAGAAAAATTTTCTTCGGCACAGTGACGAAAAATACAATTACGCACTTGTATCGAAATATACTATTTTGTGATACCTGCCTGAAAAATGCACTGTTTGAAACGGTTTAGTGTGCGTAAAGTGGTTATTTTCCGCACGGCGTGCGGAAATTTCACTTTACGCACGCTCTTAAACTTTAGGCACTCGTGTACAAAAACAACCGCTTTACCCCGATTACCGATCTAAACAGTGAACTCTACAGGTATTGCAAAAAATAGGATGTGTTACACGTGCGTGAGAAAAAGTGGAACTTTACGCACGCACGTGCAGATAAGTCAATTTTGACTATTGACCAGTTTTCAATCAATATCTCGGAATCTAAGGGAGATAACAAAATTTTTGTTATAACCTTTTTTATGGAGCCGATTGAGTGCTACAACAAATGTAATTACGAAAATTTCGCTATCTCTCTTAGATTTGGAAATATTCCTCAAAAACTCACCTGGGAGATAAGTCGACTTATCTCCGTTTACCACTTCACTACTGATTTGACGAATGTGACTTTATAATCCGAGCCGAAGGTACCCATTATAATCGCATGAGTCAGATAATACTTTTATCGCCGTGTGACATACAATATTTCAAGTCACTGGACCAAAAAAATCGTGATTATAACCTCGCTTTGCTCAGTTAGATCCTAGTGACATAATATACTATTACGTACTCGTATGAAAATACACTACTTTGACGTTAATTCCGAATTGACCTCTAATTCAAAGAGAATTAGAATTTAGAGAGAAAAAATCCCGCCCCGGCCAGTTGGGATTCGAAAAAAAAACACCTTTACGTACTCGTATCGAAATATACTATTTTGACCCGTGGGAGGTGTGTACACGGAGAGAAATATGCAATAAAAATCATGTATCTTCTCCGTCATTCCGGAGCGAAATGCGGTTGTAGAAATGGTTCTGTAAATTTTACAGAACTGCCACGTAATTTTTACTTAAATTTTCTAAGTCGATTCCGTAATCGGTGAGCGAACTGAGAGTTCCGTAATTTTTACTGAATAGTTCTCTCCGTGCAGCGCTCGCCGAAGACTACTCTTCCACGGGTCAATGAACACATTTCCCATGAGTGTCAAACCCTATTTTTCCTCGCAATGTGTGGAAAGTGGGATTTTGCGCATACGGAGCGTGCGTAAAATTTCACTTTAAATACACGTGATGAAAAATTAGTTTATTTGAATAGTTCGTGATAAAGAGTTTATTCAGACTTAAACTTTATCTTTATTGGTGTTTTGATTCACATCAAATAAATACGGTTTTAAATATAAATAAATATTTTTGCTTTCAAATGAAAGCTTTGTAATCATTGAAATTTAAAATGAGATTTTTTTATCCGCGAAAAAATAGAACTTTTATATATATACCTCGCGATGGTGATAAAAGTCACGAGTTTCATACCTCTCCAGGATCATACGTCTCGAGGGTCACACCTCGTAAGGGTTATACCGTGTAAGGAATGAATTTTACAAGGGTCAATCTCATTATTTATTGAGCTCTATTGAATTCGTCGCATCATCCTCTTTTGTCTTGACATTAACTTGTTTCGTTCAGCTTTCTTAAATGACAAAACTAATTCAATTGTCTTTGGTAGCTTTTTTGGACTCTTCAGAACAAAATGGTTCGCTTCAGGTCCAACTGGGCTTCTCCGAGGCTCCAAATAATAAAGTGGAGAATCCAATAAAGCTGAATAGATAATGAGATTGGCTTTCTCACAAGGGAGATGACTTGGAACTTTGGTCTTTTGCAATGTTTGACCTTCGGGAAATTCACTCTTTATGAGGTATGAGGCTCATGTTTTTGAGTTTCTTAAAATGCCGTAAATCATACCACGTGATGTAACAGTATATTATGTCATCAGGCGATATAAGTATTTATCGCCTTCGGCTCGGATTATAAACCCACATTCGCCGGATGCTTTTATCGCCGTGTGACAAAATAATATTTTATGCCCCAAGTCCCGAAAACCGCGGTCTACGAAAATTGCGTCGGTAAAAAACGGTGTAATTTACCAATGTAATTTACACGCCCAATCCTGATGTGCACGTAGGAAGCAAAACAAGACATTCAAACCCGCGTGTTTACCACCCTCTAATCTACACACAGAAAGAAATATTCAATAAAAATTACGTATCTTTTCCGCAATTCCGCACTGAAATGTGGTTGTAGGAAATTTTACGGAACTGTCACGATTTTTTCTAGAGCGTTCCGTAATTTTGATCTGAATCTTCTGTGAAAAATTACGATACCGTCACTTAAATTTTCTGCGTCGATTCGTAATCGGTGAGCAAATGGTGAGTTCCGTAATTTTTACTGAACATTTCTCTCCGTGCACGCGGGTTGGAATGTCCTGTTTTCCTCCCTTGGCGCACAATTACAAAAACAATTCATTCTGAACTTCCAATAGTATATTTCTAACCTAGGGAGGGAAAATAAAGGATCCTCAGCCGCCAGTGCAATTACCAGCCGAGCCGAAGGCGAGGTTGGTAAGCACGCGGCTGAGGGTCCTTTATTTTACTTCCCGTGGTTAGAACGCGATTTTCCGTCTCGGCGTAGGTGCAAAGTCAGAGTTCCCTCCCGCAAAGCGGGAGGGAAATGTAACTTTGCGCCCGCCGAGACGGAAATTTGATTTTTCCATTGATCAAGTAATTGTCAATCTTTCAAAGTCAATAATTGAGTTATAAAATATTTGAAAATTTGATTGATGATTCATTTAATAAAAATATTCCACGTATAAAAATAATTGTATTCCGATGTTTTTTCATAATTTTCCTATTAAATTTTTTTATACGTGAAATACATTCATTCCGAAGAATGCCGAGTGTCGCTTGACAGAGAATGTTTTGAATGCTGAGTGTGAAGGATTCTCGAGCAAAAGAATGTTAGAAGGACATTCGGATTGAAAACCTTTCCGCAGGATATCTATGATGGGATGAATGTATCACTCGCTAGTGATCACTGGTGCTATTAATAGAATTGACGAAGACGATTGCCTCGCAATGTTTAATTAAATAGTTTTTACATTTATTTGGATTCTCATTTTGGATCTGAGGTAGAGACAAAATGACTAATGGCTGAATTGAATAAATGAATTAACGAGCCGATTGTTCCATTTTGTTGATTGGACGAAATACGTGATTGTAATTCTAAAACATCATAACATTGGCATAATTTTAAGCTTTCCAAGGTCTGTGAATATACTTCACGGAATTTAGGGGATTCGGTGGCCAGTGCATGGCATAAAATCAAATTCTTCAATATAAAAAAAACAAGTATATAAAAAAACTTTATGATAGAATTATTTGTTCTGTGTAAACATTGGTCACCATGGGATTCTCGCGTTTATTCTGATTATTTTGTATTCGTTTAATTGAGTAATAACAGTATATCTTTTAGTTTCAATTTTACAACATTCTGGTTGCATATGATATCTGATTGATTTAAGTGCTAAAAAATTATAATCGTGTTTGGAAAAAAGCACTTGCATATTGTAGGGGAAAAATAATTCAAGAATTCAAGTAGGGGAGAGTGGGACAAAACGAAACAGTCAAAAAAACGACTGTTTGATGCAATTCAAGCAAAAAAAAAATTTTTATTAAATGTTTTTCGTTTGAACTTTCTTTTTATTCTTGGGAGTATTGATGAGAAACATGATTTTCCATTCAGTAGGATGGAAAATTACTGAGAAATTTTGATGGGCGAAGATTTTGTCAATGGATTATACGATTGAAATTCAACATCACATTTTCCTTTTTCCCCCTCTGGGTGTCCCCTCAGGCTTTGCTCTGGACTTTGGATTTTGCTGTTTCATTTTCTTCTCGATTAATCCATTGACAAAATCTTCGCCTGTCAAAACTTGTCAATAATTTTCCATTCTACTGAATAGAAAATTATAATTCCCATCAGTACTCCCAATAATAAAGAAAGTTCAAACAAAAAACAATTCAATAGAAAATTTTTTTTTTTGCTTGAATTGGGTCAAACAGTCGTTTTTGTGACTGGTTCATTTTGCCCCACTCTCCCCTAGAGATTTCTTTCAATTTTCCGGATTTTTCATTAATTTCCCCGGAATAATTAAACTGCAATTTATTTCCATGAAATTATGAATTTTCAATGACAAAATTTCTTGAAATTTCAGTGGAAACGTTACTTGCTAGAAATTTCCAAGACTTACCGGAAATTTCAGTGAAAAATTTTTAACAGTGTTCAATCCTTCAAAGAGGAGTCAAATCGATTATTGTGCCATCTTATTCCGTGTAGTACTCGGGGCGTCGTTCACGGATATAAAATCCAATTCTTTTTAGTTTAATGATTAACGATCCAAGATAGCAGAGAATGCCGGATGAGTAGCAATTGCGTGATGTCCCGGTTTTGCATTCCTAAAAAATGTTTCATCATTTACACAACACGTGACAGGTCGAGTGATTACTCATCAAATCATCGTTTCCCGTGTTGGTTAATTGCCGATGATGAATCGTCAATCTTTATTTCAATGTTGATTTTTAATCAATTATTTAAAAAAAAGTTGTACATTTCTCATAGTTACCACGTCAAGGGAAGACCGCACTGAAGTTTCCTTTCACAAGTTCGAAAAAATGATTTTTAGGCCGGAAAATTTATTGTTTCACGATCAATTTCAATCCGTGTTTTTTATGCGTGGAACACCGTGATGCTTATCGACGTAGATTCTCTCAGCCACAAAAATAGTTCCTACCGGTAATAATTAAATATCTCCTTGACTGAAAGCAAAGTTGTTGGATTCACCTGCCCTGACCTTCAATTTCGACAGGCCTCCAATAAACCAATAACCCAATAAACGATTCCATTCTCGAAGATGGAGGGCGGTTAATTATTCTCGCGTAATGTGATGGATGGTTATTTTTAAATTTGAGCACATGTTCAATTTTTGAATATATTCTTATTTGAGCATATCACTGAGTGATGTTTTAATGCTTTCTTCGCCATCAATAAATTGATGATATTAATTTTTTTCATTCTCGGATATTTCTCCCCATTTTTGCAATTTGTCCCTTGCTCCCCCCCCCCCCCCCCCCCCNCTATATCGCATTTGGTAAAAGTTTGAGGAAAACAAGTTAGGGGAAAACCTAACCAGATAAAGTCGTCATTTTCGAGACTCCTGAATTACTTTCCGAAATTAAATTAAGTTAAACATCGCATTAAATTAAAGAAAAACCGAAAAATGGAAATATTTCTAAAACTTTGTATGAACGAATATACATATTTTGATTAATAATAAAGATAAAAGACATTGAGACGAATATTTTGAAAAAAAAATTGAAATCGGTTGAGTAATTTTTCAGAAATTGCGAAATTTGAGAATGTGCGAAAGACGATTTAGAAACAAATGGCGATATCTCAAAAACTGCTGGATCCATTGGGCTGAAATTGAGTACACAGTTAGTTGTGATTAGTACCCGTAATCAGACAAAATTTCAGATTTTTTGAAATTATTTTAGTCCTCTAATTCTTCAATTTTCTAAAAGTTGACCACCAGGTGGACACTAGCATATACACACAAGGTGGTTAAAATAGGAATTTTGAGGTTTCAGACCATTCTACATAATTTCCAAGTAAAATTTGAGAATCGAAAAATAGAACGATTTCAATGCTTCTATTCGGAAGAATGGAATTCGATTTTTCTATATAACTTATTCTTTTCATATATTTTCAGTAGAATTTGCTCGACTCAAATTTTCTTTTCAAAGTTTTTTTCATTCTATTTTTCTTTTCTTCTCATCAAGAAAATCAAACGAAATAACTTAGAAAATTTGAGCCAAGGAAATTCTCTAGAAAATATCTCAATAGAATAAGTTATATAGAAAAATTGAATTCTATTCACTTTTTGTACTAAATATTTTCTATTGAACATTTCAATAGAATCGGCCAAAAACTAATAGAACAGTTCAATAGAAATTCAATACAATTTTTTAACGAATTCGATAGGTTTTTCTAGTAAATTTTTCGTCCGTGAAAATATAAGAATAATCTATAGCAAGAACATGATGTGTTTTCTAGACACATCATGTTTTCTTTTGTGAAATAAATTCAACACTAAATACTAATACAAAATATCAACAATCCTCTCCCCAACTACATTGGCCTCCTTCCACCTGAAAATGCATGACCATTCAGTCTAAACGATTTCGAAACTCCTCCAGCTAGAAGTCAATAAACGTTGGGTGAATGCCCGAGGAGCGTTTCCGTCACCCAGAAAGAAAAGTATTTTGAGGAACACTTCACAGTCATCATGAAGTTGGTAATTTTCCTGGCATTGTGCATTGGATGTACGTGGGCTCGAAATACGGATTATTGTTTCGCCGAAAATGGAAACCCTTACCTGCAGTTTGCATCGGTGACGCCGTACATAGTATCCACTAGAGGGAGGAATGAATATCAGCAGATACCGAGTAAGTTTATGAAGAGATTCAATTTAGTTGTTATTCCCTTTCCAATTTGTTTTTTTTTACGTCGAAGAATGATAACAACTTCCAGTCAATTTTTGCATTCACCTATTTTTTTTTTAAATCACCCCGGAATTTTTTCATGGGTAATTGACGAGGGTGAGCTACTAGATAGACGGTTCACATTTGGCTAGGAAATTGAAGGAAGGAATAATAAAATGTGAACCGTTGCTTCGAATTTTCAATAACTGCTGCAATCATTGATCCCTAAATGACGGTAGTTTCTCGATCCATTTTTTTAATGGACTTGAGTCCATCTATTCAGAGAGAAAAAAATCATGAAATTTCAGATTGCAATGTATATTTTAAGGAATTCCAAATTTTTTAACTACAAGAGGATATTCAATAGCAGATTACCCTGAATTTACAATTAATTGAAAATTTAAAAATATGTTCAACAGAATTTTCCTGATTTCTAATTTTCATGGAGTAGTTTAACTGAAATAGCTAGTTTTCATGTATTTGTCTCATGAAATTTCAGGAAAACTGTAATGGGATAAAAAATTCCAAGAAGTTCACTGGAAATTTCAGCAAAAAAATTGTTTAAGCGTTGATGTTGGAGTACATTGTTAAAAATTTTCGTCTTAATTTTCCGTGCCAAATTCCGGAAATTTTTATCGTATTCAAGTTCCACTGAAATTTCAGGAAATCTTGACATTGAAAAATCAAATATTTCATGAATTTTCTGTTCAAATGATCTGGAAATCAATAAAATAGTTGATTTTTCGGTTCAGTTATTCTGTGAAAATTCAAAAAAATCCCGAAAATTCAGGGAAAAATCGGAAATTTAATTCATTTTGTTTCTGAATATTCGTGTTCTGCTGAAAATTCAATGAAGTTGTAAAATTTCCATCTCACTCCTACTGAAAACTCATGAATTTCCGAGAATTCTACTTAAAACTTGAAATTTCATAACCATTTTTTCCCTAAATCCAATTCAATGGCACTCTCATGAGATTTACTATATCTTCCATGATATTTCAAATTTCTAACAGTGTAAAGGAATCAAATTTAATGGATTTCCAAATTTTTGAGTTGCAGAAAGAAGAGAATTCCTCAGCCTACTTGAATTTCCAATGAAAACATGAATATTCAGTATCAAATTGCGCTGAATTTGCAATTGATTGAAAATTTAAAAATACATTTACCAGAATTTTCTTGATTTCAATTTGTTTTCATGGATTAGGTTTCATCCTTCTACTGTAAATTACACTATTTTTGTGAAATCTTCACAAGAATTATAATAGAAATTCCTGATGCTTCCCACAATTCTGATCTCCACTATTAACCTCTGACCCGATTCTGCTAAAAACAGATTGCCAGCCCCGTCAAATCTGGATGCTCTCAAGACATGGAATTCGATACCCGAATGCTGATGATATCGTAAAGTTGATGGAACTGAGAAATGTGCGCGATCAAATTCTAATCAACCATGAACAAAGATCAGGTGAATCCAATGCTTCATTTTCAATTTAGACCAGTCTCAACTCGTCTCTCGCATTTCATTCGTTCATTTTTCCATTCAGATGGACGTTTATGCAACGAGGATTTGGATAATCTCAGGAATTGGTCACCCAACGCCAACATGACAACGCAAATGGCGAAGGAATTGACGCCACAGGGAATGACAGAGAGCAAACTCTTAGCAGGACAAATTCGAGTAGCATTTCCTCAACTTTTTCCTAGGACTCAAGGGGATATATCCCAAGATTATGTGGTAAATATTCTCCATTATTGCCACTACCGATTGAACGATCACTTAGGGAGAAATTCACTTCAGGGATAGATCCTTAGGAAATGAATCGATCATTTGAAAACTTGAAAGAGATTTCATCAATTTCTAATCTATTCTATTCCACACAGTAAAAAATTCAATAGAAAACCTAACGAATTCGCTAGAAAATTCGATTGGAATTCTATAGAAATTCTATGGGGCTTTCTAAAGAATATCTATTAGAATTCTACTGAAAACTTCTATTATTTTGCGCGGATTCTATTGGATATTCAATTAGACACAGTCAATAGATTTTGAATTTCTGTTTGAATTTTTCTCTTAGATTTTTTCTATTAGAATTATTGAGCACAAATTTTCAAAGTTTTTTCCGCCGGATTTTATTTTGTTTTGCATTGCAGAATCCGAGTGGAAAAAACTTAGAAAATTGATGTCCAAGCATTCTTATAGAAAAAATCTCAAGAGAAAAAATCAAACAGAAATTTGAAATCTATTGACTTTTTCTTATCGAATGTCCAATAGAATCAGCGCAAAAAACAAATAGAATTTTTCAATTGAAATCCTATAGAAACCCCATATAATTCCTCCAGAATTCTAACAGGATTTTATTATAATTTCTATTGAATTTTCCATACGTGTGTGAATAGTACAATTTTCCCGAGAAGACCATGTTTGTATTAATCTTTGCATTAAAAAATTACAGTTCAGAGCAACGAAATCAATGCGATCTCAAGCCAGCATGCGAGCCTTCATGGAGGGTTTACTCAGTAGATCTGTACCGACTCCACCTCCATTCTATGGAAATGACACTTTACTGAAAGTAAGAACGACTGGGAAATTGGTATTGTCTTTATATAGCATAACTATTTTTGCTAATAAATTAGAAATATGCTTCCGAATGTTCATTTTGCATGTCATTTTCTTCTATCATATATCATTTATTGTTTTATATTATTTTGTTCGATTGAATTATTTCTCATACAAGAGCTATGCGCGCGCTCTCGCGCGCGCTGATCTATTCATTTGTTGAAATGAAGAAATGGAATTCATTAAATTTCATTTTCTCATGAATATCTTATAAATATTGATAATGAATCAAAGAGAAATCGACTAATGATTGAAGTGAATAGCGAAGTAGAGTAAAAGAATCTATAAAGAATTTTTCATTTTCAATTAATTATCTTCAATTTTTAAAAATAATCGGTCTCCATAAAAGGACAGAATTTATTAATTTCACCGATAATATATATACATGTGAAATATATATATATAATATATTTCACGCGTATCTGGGAGACCCGGGTTCGATTCCCGGCTGGGTGAAGCGGTAATTTTTTCTCTCTAAATTCTAATTCTCTTAGAATTCTTTAATGCCTAAAGGAGGTTAGGCGGTGTATGAGGTGAATTTGAGAGTGAATTTCTGTGGTTCCCGGTAGCTTAGTCGGTAAGAGTGCCCGGTGCGTATCTGGGAGACCCGGGTTCGATTCCCTGCTGGGTGAAGCGGTAATTTTTTCTCTCTAAATTCTAATTCTCTTAGATATAAGAGAATAAACAAAACATAAATTTGAATCATTACAAAGCTTCCATTCGGAGTAAAAAATCATTGACTCGAGAAACCTCATTCTAATAAATCTATGTTGTCACATCAATTTTTCATGAATTAATCATTGACGGCTTTTGAATCAGGCATACCAATATTGCCCCCGTTGGAAGGACGGAGATGAAAACGATCCTCATTACGGTAAAGAGTTGGCTGACTTCTTGAGAGGTCACGAATTCTCCGATCTCATTCGCAATGTCAGCAGTAGACTTGGATTCCAATATCAGTTATCAGCAGGTAATAATTGATGATTCATTAGAATTTAAAAATTTAAATTACATTATGAACTAAGGAATTTGGTTGAAAGCTTGCAACAGCTTGTTCTCTTCAATAGAGAATAAATTCTTTTATCACCGGTCTCCAGTCATTTTCTCATGCAATTTCTCTACATTGTTAAGCAATAATTCATTAACAATTAAGAAATGATGAATTAAATCATTATTTTCAGATAAAATTCGAAGCATGTACGACATGTGTCGCTATGAAAAAGCGTGGGCAGTGGAAAAATTATCCCCATGGTGTGCAATATTTAGTAATGAGGAACTGAAAGTGATGGAATACACCGAAGATCTTGAGTATTACTATACCGCAGGTTATGGACGAGAAGTAAACAAAATAATCGGATGTTTCCCACTGCAAGACATGATGAATCGTTTTCGGTAAATTTCTTTCATTGTGTGAGAAATCTACAATCTACATGGAGAGAAAAGTTTTACAAAAATACCCCGACAATCATGGCAAATTATCGAGGGGCTGGTCACTCCACGGACAAAAAAATTTAATAGAAAAACCTATCGAATTCGTTAGAAAATTCTATTGAATTTCTATTGAACTCTTCCATTAGTTTTTGGCCGATTCTATTAAAATGTTCAATAGAAAATATTCAGTGGAAAAAGTCAATAGAATTCAAGTTTTCTGTAAAACTTATTCTATTGAGATATTTTCTATAGAATTTCCTCGGCTCAAATTTTCTAAGTTTTTTCGTTTGATTTTCTTGATGAGAAGAAAAGAAAAATAGAATGAAAATAAAATAGAAAATTTGAGTCGAGCAAATTCTATAGAAAATATATAAAAAGAATGAGTTATATAGAAAAATAGAATTCTGTTGACTTTGTCTATTGAAAGTTTTCTATTGAACATGTCAATAGAATCAGCCAAAAACTAATAGAAAGTTTGATAGAAATTTAATAGAATTTTCTAACAAATTCGATAGGTTTTTCTATTAACTTTTTTCGTGCGTGTCCTCAATCGAGTGACTCAGTGATTTCCAGAATCAGATGATTTCTTGTGATTTCCTGTTGATTTCTGTGATTTCTCGAATCTTTTTTGTGATTTCTCAATCAGCATTAGAAATCATGATTTCTTTTTATTTCTTGTGATTTCCATGATTTCTAGTAGATTCCAATGATTTCTTGATTTCAAGAAATCACTGGAGAAATCATGATTTCGGGACCAGAGTGGGGCATCTATCGATAATGGCAGTTTTCTACATGACGTTACAATACGTAAGGATGTCAAAAACTTCCTAGCGTCGCATTTCAGGATTGGATCACGCACGAAAAAAGTTAATAGAAAAACCTATCGAATTCGTTAGAAAATTCTATTAAATTCCTATTAAACTTTCTATTAGTTTTTGGCTGATTCTATTGACATGTTCAATAGAAAACATTCAATAGAAAAAGTCGACAGAATTTGATTTTTCTATATAACTGATTCTTTTCATATATTTTCTATAGAATTTGCTCGATTCAAATTTTCTAAGTTTTTCATTCTATTTTTGTTTTCTTCTCATCAAGAAAATGAAGCGAAGAAAATTTGAGCCGAGGAAATTCTATAGAAAATATCTCAATAGAATAAGTTTTTCTATTAAATTTTTTCGTCCGTGAAGTACTGAAAATCGAATTCGCTCCACGATTACTTGACTCGTTCGGTAATTTTTCGTTCGTTAGTTCGTTAATTTTCTTTCTTCGCGTAATGCCGCATCGTACAGACCTTTAAAGTTGATGATTTGAATATTCTGCAGATCACTTGAGCAGAACGATGCCAATGACAAGCCTAAAGGGATATTCTACTTCACTCACACAGTCACTATCTTGAGTTTCCTGCGAAATCTAGGGGCTTTCCAAGATAGTGAGCCTTTGACGGCTAATAATTACAGAAACATGATGAGGCGTCGGTGGAGCACATCGGCCCTCGCACCGTTTAGTTCCAATGTCGTTGCAGTTTTCTACAGGTAATGATAGTTACATCATATTTATGCAATGCTGAAAATAATTCAAATCTCATGAGCAATCTAGCAGTAATTTTCAGAGGATTGATGATGAATTTGATTTATTGATCCAAAAAGAGGGAAACATTTAATGGAGAACCTAGAACGAAATTTCAATGGAGCTGTCTATTGACAACAATTTCCAACAAGTGTATCAGAAATTTTGACATGGTGATAAAAAAGTTTGAGAAAACTCTAAAAGAAATCAAACAAATCAATTCTCTTCCATTCATATTTCTTTTTGATTCGTGTTGCATTGAAAGATTAGAACAGATACCTTCATGATTGCACATATCGAATATAATATAAATGTTGTCACACATGAAAAAAAAAATTGAAAAACCTAGTGAATTCGTTAAACTCTATTGGACTTGTATTGAATTTTCTATCAGTTTTTTGTACAGAAGTTCCATTGACAAATTTTCCAAGTTTTTGTTTGATTTTTTTTTATGAAAAGAAAAGAAAAATAGAATAAAAAAGCTTTAAAAAGAAAGAACTGAAAATTTGAGCCGAGGGAAATTCTATAGAAAATATCTTAATAGAATACGTTGTACAGAGAAACCGCATTCCATAAACTTTTTGCACAGAATATTTTCTATTGAACATTTCAATGGAATCGGCCAAAAACTAATAAGAAATTCGATAGAAATCGAATAGAATTTTCTAATAAATACGCTAGGTTTTCCTATTAAATTTTTTCGGGGGTGGATACAAGTTGAGTGATGAATAGAGATGTGAGAGACAAGTTTTACCGCCATAACCGGTAATTACCGCGCCGAGAATCTGACCATATGGTCTGAAAAATAAATGACGATTGGCCATAGGCATGAAATGACCAAATAAATTTGGACTGTCAATTTCCATCTACATAGAAGACCCTCAATTTTCGAGTACTAGTCAAGCGATTTCTAGTTTTAAAAATTTTTAGCTGAAATTTCCAGCACACGTTTACAAAATTTTTATCACATTTAAGTTCCACTGACATTTCAAAGAATTCTCTCATTGAAAATTCTGAATTTCGGGGAAAAATCAATGAGAACTGTAAATTTTAGTTCATTTATTCCCTGAACATTAATAAAAAACTGGAAAATTCCAATAAACATTTTCTTGAACTTTCCATTATTTGAAGATTCAGGGGAATTTGGCACTGAATATTCATGTCTTCATTGAAAATTCAAATAAATTAAAGAAATCTCGTCTTGACGCTTCTCAAAATTTTGGTATTTTATTAAACTTTCAGTGAAATCTGAAATTTCCTTTTTTTTCTGACAGTGTATCATTGAGAATAGAGCCATTGATAATAATTCATAAATGCAATCACTGACAATAATTCAATTCTACTAAAAGGTTTTCTGATCGAACCCTTAAAAAATGATCCAAAACAAATTAGCAAAATACAAATGATGGGTAATTTTCAACTATATAGATGATTTTTGGTCATTTTCGCTCGTGTCTGACCCAGCTTAAATGTGACTGTAATTTTGCATACAAAATTCGATCAGGGTCAGAAAACGATCAGAACCGGTTATTTACGTCTGACCTGACCGAAAGAAAAATGACGCTCATTCCCCATCTCTAGTGATGAACAATTCCGCAAGATCCTGGAACGAATGCCGATTATCCAATATTGGAAATGGGGTATTTGAATAATTAAATTTGGCAAATAAGTGAAAAATTTTCTTTTATTTGATACGCTCGGAAGACACATCCGCTCTGTACCAATTCCTTAGGGGAACTAACTAAATGACAAAGGGATACAACATCCTGGACCCCTGGTGACTCACACTCGATAGGTCCCACTCGTCCAACTTTGTTTAGACTAAGGAAAAGAGCATAAACATCATACCTCAAACTTCTCAGAATTTTCATCCATAAAAATGTTCTTCATATCGAAAGTAACAACACAGAAAGAAACGTATATATAAGATTAATTTTTGCTACATATTATTTTCACTCAAAAAATCCAACATCCAAATTTGTCCCACTTCGATAGACCTCCGAAACGATTGAGGAACCATTAGTGGAATGAAACCCTCAATTTTGTGGATTTGAGTTTCTGAGGAAGTGTCAACACATGAGTTGAATAACTAATTCGATATGCATCAGCAGAGCGAAAGTAATGAGTCAGCGAAATATTATCGTAGAGTACACTCGTCATAAATTAGAAGACCCAAAGTACTGAGACAAAATGAGAATAGGTGCCGCTGTTAAGCGCCATGATCTGATGATAGCGAGTGTTTGCCCTTTAATGAGTCGACTGATCGGCATAAGTTACCGCCCTGAACGGAATTAATTTCCCCTACGGACTTCTCATTCGCCCTCAAGTTCATAATAGAGTAACATTAATCCATTAAAACTCCACTGATTATTTGTAATAAATGCTTTATACGGCTCCTTCTAAGCATGAAGACTCCTCTACTGCGTGGTGCATTGAAATTTCTAGTAATTATGATGTGCACAGGACCATTCGAAGCTTTCCATATACCAGAGCCTGCCTGGTCCGCAGATTTAATGAGTTACATAAAAGAAAACTATGAACATTATCGCCAAGTGATGATCATAACGTGCAAAGATTCCGGAGTGCCATTCGAGAATTACTGGATAAGAAAAATACTGCACACAGCAATGGCAACTTTTCCGACAATTCGAATAAATGTTGATTTTTCATCAAATATCAATGAGGAATGGTCCTTTCATCGTACCGATGCCACAGCAACTTTGTTCATTTTCGTGGATGATAGCGACACTTGGCGCCATCATCAACCAAAAGATGTCGGGAAAGTTGTGCCCCAACAGATAATCTCAATCATGAAAGATTTATCATTGAACAAGAAAATTGCCAAGTATCTGGCCTTATTTCTCTCGTCAGAACAGACCCTGAACTTTGACGACCTTTTGAGACATGCCTGGGAAATGCAAATGATTGATTTAACTATTATAGAGGTCATTGGTTGCCAAAGCGTGAAGACAACGATCCTGAACGATTGTGTTGATGACAGCAGCCTACCAGTCATACATCACTTCAATCCATTTTTGGATTCAATAATAAGGAAGACATACGAGCCAGGAATGAAGTTGTTTCCGGATATCATGAAAAATATGCATGGATATCCTCTCAAGATCGGTATCCGCCACCATCCACCGTTTTCAAGCGTCTCCTGGGATAACAACTCCAACTACGAATCGATGAGTGGATTGGATATTCAACTTATACATACAATGGCGGAAAGCATGAATTTCACATTGCAAATTCTACCGCAATTGATGACCTTCGAGGAAATGCAAGACAACTCCTCTAATGGATTATTCAATTTCTTACGCAGTGATAAAATCGATATCTTTGCTTCTCCCCACCCTCACTACACAGAAGATATGGAGGAACATTCGTTTCGCAGCGAAGCATTCATCAGAGATCAACTTTGTGCTATGGTTCCATTGAGAAAAACTGTTCGTATACTTCTTCCGAAAACAGTCACTGAGACTTTGATCTTGACCATTGGCATTGTATTAATCTTTTGGGCCTCAATATGGCTCTTCAGGTTTTCACAGTCGTGGAGTATTTTTACCATAGTACGTGTATTGTTCGGTATCCCAGTCTTCGCTCATCATGCAAGACTGAAGCCTGCACAACGTGTCATAATTCAAATTTTGATGATCATATCATTACTCTATTCCGCGAAGATTTATGCATCTCTGACGAACATAAATATCGATGTCGTAGGTGCAGTTGAAATTGAAACTCTTGATGATCTTGATCAATCTGGCCTTATACCGAAGATTCACCCCCACCTGATGGATAAAACTTTTGGGCATGTCAATAAGAATGATCAGACTCTGATGAATCTGAAGAGAAAAACTGTCTCGATGCGTTCTATGATGAAATGTCTAAGTGAAGCTGAAAAATTCAAGAATACAACGTGTTTGATGACCACAGTCGAAGGTTACTGGTTCATAAGATCGACATACCGTCACCGAGAGCCAGCCCTGAAGATGACACAAGCATGTTTTTGGTCGGATAGCTATGCATTCCTTTTTAGGGAAGGGTCTCCCTATAGAAATAAAATAGATAATACATTTCGTCTTCTCGCTGAAGGTGGAATTCCCATAATATGGGCACGGAATGATACAAGTGGCAATTTTGAGGAGCAACGTAAAGACAATAATGTATTCCACGAACTTCAAGTGCCACCTCCGGGTGTATTACGAGATCAGCTAACGGTCGTTTTATTGTTTGGACTTACCATCGCAATTATTACATTTATTGGAGAGCTTCTGTGGTATCATCGCATCAAAAGATGGAAGAGCGTGTGATGAGTGGATTAGGTATGCTATCGATGATTTCTGACATATCATCTCTTTTGATGTGTCATGACCTTTTCGAATGAAGTATCATTATTTAGGCTTTACAGACTCAATTCATCAGACATCAATCACTACAGACGGAACATCCTTTCTACAAAAAAAGCATGGGCATTATCTCGAACGAATAGAGAAAGTAAGGTGGTTTTCATGAGTACAATCGTTTTGCGTCGAATTTTCATGAAGCCTGTCTGAGAAACAAAAGAGAATTGAATACCATTCTATGAAACATGCATAAACGAATCATAATTGTCCCAATCATTTAGGTCAGAAGAAAGCGGAATAATTCTAGTTTCCTAATATTTCATTTACTAAGGTTGTCTTCGAATAAAATCGATTAGAATTAATAGCTAGAATTATGAGATTATCTCGCATTTTTGACGTGGAGGACAGGCGAATCTGAATACAATATATTGATAAAATGAATAACAGATTAATTGAATTACTGTGTGAACTAGCTAAAAATTGATAACAGTCTGTGCACGCTTCTTTACTAGAATATTAACCAATATTGAATTCCAGAAATTCACACTCTGAAGTGTATTCTAGAAGGAATGGAATTGAAATTATGATTAAAGTCGTATTCACTGAGCATAGGAATAAGAACTTGAGCAAATCATTTATTGTAATATGAAAATTTAACAGCTGATAAATTAACGTATTGCTTTTGGCAGGGAGAATGATTACAAACAATTAATTGGAAAAGAATATATCGAATCTAAGAAGAAAGAGGGCATAATAAGTCATTATCTAAAGTTACCGAGCTCAACTGAAAATCTCGACCGACTTCGGGACCTTTCGGGTTCACGGGCAAATCACGAAGCAAATCGCCAAATATGAAATTTCTGTAGGATCAATCTATTCCTTAAAGAGGTTCGGGGGTATATTCCGGATTATATTCCGAGATATTCATTGAAAACGGGCCAATAGTCAAAACTGACTTATACGGTTTTACCACTTCGCTACTGATATCATACTTTCTATTGGTATAATTATCTAATCCTGTGGTTCCTGATATAAACGTCAAGTTATATGTTTTCCTGTCCCAATAGTTTCTTGGCAAATATGCTTGATTGTTGGGTTATTAATGTTAAATCTGATTTTCTGATCACAGATGCAACGACAATGATGCCCGCGACAAAGTCATGTTCTATCTGCAAGGAAAGCCACTGCCACTTGAAGGTTGCCAGGTTGGCCTCTGCAATTGGGAGTACTTGAAGACGAAACTTGGGGAAACTGCTAGTCAGTGCAGCGAAGATAATTGTTATGGGAGGGGTGGATCTATGATCAATCAAGCTCTAATCACTCTGATTTCAGTCTTCTCCTTGAGTTGTATTCTGCTGAAATAGTCATACCGCATTTCGCCGAAATTAATTATCAATGCGGGCTTCAGTGATAGAACATTGTTCTACGCACAAAACGGAATTACAATTAGTATTTTTTTCCATTTGCGATTTTTACAGTCACGCATTCTTTTCTTCACCCAAAATTTTAGTGTGGTGTTTCTCTTCAAGTAAATTTTGAGCGCTGAAATATGCATTAAAAATATGTATTTATACTCCAAGGGAGGTTGTATGACACAGTGTGATTTAACATATATGTTATTAAAAAGAAAGTTATTCAATTTAAAAAAGATATTATCTTTGTATACATATTGTAAAGTATGGCCCATTTAATAATAAAGGACTTTAATAAAAGAATTTAGGGCGAAATAAATCATGAAAATATACGAAAGAAATGACCTGTCCGCGGACTAACAACGAAGATAAAAGAATCCTATTCTAAAAAGAACATACACTTAAAGTCGATAACTATCGATATCTCGCAAGTCTGTCATGTCTGATTAATTTAATTTTGAGATTTTCAATTATGATTGTTGCAATTACAGCGCGCTGTAGCGCGCGTTCGGTCTCGTAACGAGAAAGAAGGAGACGATCGTACATGAAGGTCGTTAAGAGGAAGGAAAAAAACAAATACGCAATAATGTAAAAGCTGAAGGACCAAAGGTAGTAAGAATAAGTGAAAATACATGCAAATCATTCAATTCATTAACAGAGTAAACATTCCGTTGAGGAGTTGAGTGATGTGTACACTATTATAAAAATAAGAAAATTAGTTTCTCCAGTAGAAGTGTCACACTTATGCTTGTAATAAAATAACATCATTTCATCATAATGCTTACAATGATGAAGACTCCTTGGCAGTGCGGTTCAATTGAACATGTAGTAATCGTCATGTGCATAGGAAAATTGGGAGCTTTCAATCCACTAGAGCCTGTATGGCTCAAAGATTTATTACATTACATCGAACACAACGATGATGAGTACCACCAAGTGATTTTCATAGCATCTGAACACACCGGAACGTCATTCGAGAATTATTGGATACAAAGAATACAGCAAACAATTATGGCTACTTATCCAACTATTCGATTAAATGTGGAACGTCCATCAGACGCTGATGAATGGTCCTATCATGGAATTGACGCTACATCAACATTGCTCATTTCTGTTGATGATGCCGAAGTACCTAGATTAGATATATCGAAACAAACCATATCTGTCATGAAAAAATTATCGTTGAACAAGAAGCGTGCCAAGTACCTGATCATCTTTCTCTCATCAGAACGAACTCAGAATTTCAGTATTCTACTGAGATATGGTTGGAAAATCCAAATGATGGATCTAGTCATTCTGGAGATCGTCTCTTCTAGAAGAGAAATGATAACTATCTCGGAGAGTTCTATAGATGATCATAGTTCACTAGTAATTCATTACTTCAATCCCTTTCTGAATTTAATGGTAAGGAAACCATATGAGCCAGGAATCGAGTGGTTTCCAAACCTCATGAGCAATATGCATGGATATCCTCTGAAAATCGGTATCCGTCATCAGCCACCATTTTCCGAAGTCACCTGGGATGAAAAAGCGAACTGTGTGTCGATGAGTGGATGGGATATTACCGTCATCCAAGAAGTGGCAGCGAAGATGAATTTCACGTTGCAAATTCTACCGCAGTTGACGAACTTCAGTGAAATAATCGAAGACAATTCATCGTATGGGTTATTTAATCTCCTGAGCAGTGGCAAGGTGGATATACTCGCTTCTGTTAACCCTCACTACACGGAAGATATGGAGGAGAATTTATACCGCAGTGAAATGATATTTCGAGATCAGTTGTGTGCTGTTATACCAGTAAAGAACACTACTCGCATTCTCTTTCCGACCGAAATTATTGAAGCTTTTATTTCGACCATTGGCATTTTATCGATCTTTTGGGTCTCAACCTTGCTCTTCAAGTTCCGTCGATCATGGAGTGTTTTTGACATCTTTCGTATGTTGTTTGGAATTCCCAAGCACATCAACCATTCGAGCTTGAAGCTAGCGCAACGATTGATGATAAAAATCATACTGATCGTATCATTATTTTACTGTGTGAGAATTTACGCATGCCTGACAGAAATTATTATCGACGTTGATCATGAGGTTGAAATTGAAAATTTCGATGATCTTGATCGCTCTGGTCTCATACCGGTAGTCTCAGCGTACCTCCTGAACAGAACATTTGGTAATGTTGATGAGAATGATCGAGCGCTGATTAATCTGAAAAACAAAGCTGTTGCGACGACGGCTATATGGGACTGTCCATCACATGCTGATCGATTCAAAAATGTAACGTGTTTGATGACCAGGAATGCTGTTCAAATATTAATGAAATCGACCTATCAACCCGGTGAAAGAATTCTAAAGATTTCCAAGGCTTGTTTTTGGTCAGACAGCTACTCATTTCTTGTGAGATCTGGATCGCCTATTCGAAAGAGGATGGATTACATAATTAATCTACTGTCGGAAGTTGGATTGAAGATAATGTGGTTCAGAAATGATACGAGGATCAAACTTTGGGAAATCGATAGAGAAGATGAGTTGATATGGGACGAGATGAAGTACCACCCCACGAGTCCGTTGAGAGAACAGCTAACAATTGTTGCATTATTTGGTTTCACCACCGCAACGATTACATTTATTGGAGAGCTTCTGTGGTATCATTGGTTAAAAAAATGGAAGAAAACCATTAAATTGTTCAGGTAGACGATCAATGATTTTTGGGATAGATTCTTAATCTTGATGTAAAGTAGTCCTCATATGTGACACATATTCCTACGCATTTGTTCATGCATTTGTGCGAAACAAAAATACAGTTTGGTGACCATAGATGCGTTGATTCTGATGTCCGTGACAAATTTATATGAAGATGAAACTTTAGGCCGTTTCTATAATCAGTGGAACGACAATCGTGAATATGAAAAGGGTGGGGTCAATTATCTATCAATAATTGAACCCTCATCATTCCGCGTTTCCTCTCGCCTTTATGAATCTATTCTATTAATGTAGTCACAAGAAATATTCCTTTAATAAAAAATTCAGTGCAACGTTTTTTTGAAGCCAATCTATTCGGCGTATTGTGTCATTAGGTTTTTTTTGTAAATGTTGATAACATACATTAATGATATTACGATAATGCTATATTATATTATATTCTATACTATACTTATTATAATACAATATCGTATACTCAGTGTATGTTATTATTGTTATCACGTTATTATTAAATTTTTTTTGTTATCTACATTATATTTTATAATACATATAGTACTCTATTATATACTGTATATTATACATAGCTTTTATAGTATAATATAGTATTGTATAGCATAGAATATAATATAACATAGCAAGCTCGTGATATCTTTCATGTATGCTATCATCACAATACGCCGAATAGATTGGTTTCAAAAAACGTTACACTGGATGTATTATATATTTTTTTAAATGCAATACATTCCTGAAACTTTTCTTTCGGAGAACTTGATATTAACTTCAGAAATCTAATATAACACTATCCACTACAATTGACATACATTGAACCCCATGGAGTAGGACATACGCGCGCAAAGCGCGCGGACTAATTTAGTAACAGAAAAAATTCTCATCGGGTGATCCATGGATAAACTATTAAATTTCAGAAGTTTAATTAGTGTATCACTTTCTCGCACTGAAATTTTCAATGGAAAAAAATCCATGCTCCAAAAAAATTGTATAAGTACAGTATGATGCAAGATATGATTATGAATTCTTTGACCCTTATTTCTAAAATACGACTAGAAAATAACCAGCCATCGATCCGCCAGCAATCGATTGTCAAAGTCTTCGTTTGATTTCGATCGACTAGCTATCGACCAATCCACCAGGGTAGTTTCTGGAATGCTTTCACGGACGCCAGTGTGACTCATAAAAATCAACAATTCAGCTTCATCCTTTGCGTGTAGCGATAAGTCAACAACATTCGAATGGTGACACAAATCAATATCTATTTCATATACATTTCGCTCGACTTATTGTACAAAACGTCAAAAAGCTAATAAATATGATGGAAATCTCAGTAACCAAATTGTACCCCGAATTCATCATTTCCTAAGCACATTTCCCGAGAATGTGAGATCATATGGAAAATTGTATATTCCACTCTATTACATTATGTGAAAGCATGATAAGTCTTCCGTTCATCTTTTGTGCATGCAAATTTATGAAATGGACTATAAAAAGCTCGACCATAGTAATATAAAGCTCGACCATAGTAATTTTTTAGCAGTATGTTTGGCATTCTACAGACAGCACCAACCGTCAAATCATGGAGCTGTATCATTTTATTGTCGTATTAATCATAACAAGAGCATTAACCTGCAGTGGCGAATTTAATTGGATAGAAGGTATAGAAGATTACGCATCAAAACATGAAAATCTACATCAAGTCATCTTCGTAAGTGAGAGCGAAGAAACTCTCAGGATACCAGGCATGTCTGAACTATTTCGAAGAATCGCAGAGCATCGCCCAATCATACAAATAAGTGCAAACAATTCCGATATGTTCAATAAAATGAGACAGGACACTGCATCAACCCTATTTATCTACACTCATACTCCGTTTGGTAGAGGGATTCTTCCGTCAACCAAAATCATCGACGCAATGATGGAGGCATCATTTGGTAGGACCGCCGTGAGGTATTTGATAATTCATTACTCTAATTCTAAAAATGATTATCTGAGTGAAACCCTGAAACACGCTTGGCGAAGACAAATTCTGCATTGCACCATCATTGAGTTACTATATAATCATAAAAAGATGATGCAAGAGGAAATATTCCAAGTTTTGGTACATCTTTACAAACCCTTTTTGAATCAATTCATCACAGCGAATTTTTCATCTCAAACAGAATTATTTCCGAACACACCGAATGACATGAATGGTTACCCTTTCAAAATCCGAATCACACACGATCCGCCCTTTTCAACCATAAGGCGCCAACTTGATGGTACAACAAAGTTGAAAGGCGCGAATATGCGTCTCATAGATACCCTGGCTAAAGCAATGAACTTCACTGTGAAAGCCGAAGAGGCGAGGGTATCTAAGAATGACCGGCTGGATACGTTCCTACAACCACTTATGAATAGGGAAATGGATATTTACGCTCATCTTTACGCCCATCCCTCAGAACATGCTGAGTTACGCAGTCTCCGGACGGAACCAATAGATGTAGAACATCTTTGCGCAATTGTGCCATATGTTGCGAAGAAAAATTCTCAGCTGCCCTCAATGGGAACAATATGTGGTTACCTCCTTGTACTTCTAATTGTGGTACTATTCTGGATTCTAGAACATTTTACACATTTGAATAGTCATTATTGGTCCCCATGGATTGTAATCAAGTTACTGTTCGGCGTAGTTGTGGTCAAACGACCAAATCGTTGTGCCGATCGTATCATGTTCGGTGTGCTGTGTCTCGTATCTATAGTGTACTTAACGAAACTCTACAGCTCATTAACAGGAGGAATAGTGTATACCAATGAAGTGAATAAATGGCTGACCTTAGAAGATTTGGTCAACTCTGATCTAATCCCTTTCATTTCTCCACTCTACTACAATAAAACTTTCAGCTATGCAACCGGAGTTGAGTTGAAGCTCAAGGAAAAAGTCAAGATGATATCATCTAACATGATGAATTGTCTGAATCATTTGGCTGAACACAAGAATATCAGCTGCATAATGAGCAAAAATGAATACAAAGTTTTCCAGCAATACGAAACAACGCGTAGAACTGAACTACTGGTACCTTGCTTGATTGTAGATTCAAGTGCATTCTCCTTATCAAAAAATTCACCTTACCACGAGCATATTGACCATTTAATAAGAATCTTTCGCGATGTAGGTCTTAAAAATAAATGGTACGACATTGGATTCTCTAGGCGCCAGAATATTACCCAGGAAGAATCTTATGATGCAAGAGATGTACTCTTGGAAAAAAATGATTTCTTTCAACAGTGCATCATCATATTGACTATTGGTTACACATTAGCTACGATTGCGTTGTTGGGAGAACTGATTTACTACCACAAATGTGAAAAAAAACACTCGTCGGTAAGTGCTTTTTGGAGGAAACTTAAGCTTATACTAATTGTATTTTGTTTTTATGATTGCAGAAACGGCAACGGAGACCACAGATTAATATGCTTTCTGCGAGGAGAACCCCTACACTACGAAGGTTGTCGCATTAAATTCTGCTGAAGAAAGTACTCGAAAGTCATTTCTGCGATATTCATGTTACATTTTTTGCGTTCTTAAAAAATTTGAGATGTGATCTCAAAAAATAGAACAACTTTGTCAATCAATAAATTTTTCGCAAAAGAGATATTGGCGAAAATTACAAAAGAAATTTTTGATATCTACAAAAGAAATCTCCCTTAACCCTCCTGTAGTCGCACATCTTCACCGAACGTCGTTGGTCGCGTGGTAAGCGCTGCGCCGTCCGGACATTCCCAAGCGCAGCGTTGCCAGAGGCATACCACACTATAAACATATCACCAGCCAGCGACCTCCCACTCCGCACACGCTGCTTGAGACTACCACGAGGGTCGGCAACACCGCTCGTCAAATTTCGACTAAGAGAATGGTCACACGGTGAGCGCTGCGCTTATTCTCGCTAACCGCGCTCGACAAAAAAATTAACTGAGAAAAAATTGGCAGTGCAGGGCAACCCTACCGTGTTTAATTTCATCAGGACATATCATTTGAGGTACTCGTGTTGGATAAGTAGGAAACTACTTTGATGATTGAATATGCCAGGGAGCCACTTGTTTGTAGAGGGCCACAATCTTGCGACTCTTAGGATATCTGTAGATGGCGCTGACGCTCCCTCGAATTGAAACCGGCAAATCAGAGCCCACGAAATATCGAGACAATTCTCAGCACATGCGCACAACCTATTTACGTAGCAAAACGTTGCAGAACGTTGGAGTTTTGTGCAGTTGGGGGGTATATAAGGCGGTGAGCTGCGCCAGAGCGCTCACTTTTGATCCAAAAAGCGACGAGGGAACAACCAGAAGCAGAGAAGCAGAGGAGAGGAGAGAACGGAGAAGCTGAAAATCAACGGATCTCAGGAGATCTACAGAGGAATCAAGGACTTCAAGGTAAACAGAACCTTCGAGAGAGGCGAACCTCCTATGAGCTCACCGCTTGACCATCTTGAGGCTAGACCCGAGGCAAATCATCGAGAGGCGTGAGTTCACTGGGTCGCCGCATAGTTCGAAGGAACTTCCTTGCACCTTTCCACGGTCTAGCAGAGTGCACGCTAAATTCGGATTTGGACTAGTTATTGTCAACCCGCTTCTCAAGGACACTTGAGAACTCTAGTCTCAAATCCATTGATAGAAAACTCATTTATTCGCCGTAATTCAAAAACTCACATTCGCTATAAATTTTGAAAACTCAATTTCACCAATAAAAAGGAAAAAACTCAATTCTCGCCTTCGGGTCTTATTTCTGTCAAGGCCGGCAACCGGCGTTCAGACCATAATGTGACCACTGGAGGGTTAAATTTCGAGATATTCATTGAAAACTGGCTAATAGTCAAAATCGACCTGAACCGTTTTACCGCCTCGCTATTGATTTCTTATAAGTATACCGTCATATTCACACTTACCTAATTCCTTCCCCAAATTTTGGATTTATAGTAGTTATAGATGAATTGATTCTTTATGTCTGATTTTCAACTGTATGGTCGTTGTATCAACAGAAGTCTTGTATTTTGTGCGAAATGATGAATTGAACTACTCCATTTTCTTCACAATTGCTTTTGTTTTTATTTATGAATCTTCTTGTCTTGATATATCGCAGTATATTTACAGTGTTGACGTATTCGACGAATACATTTCAGCCTCGCAGGACATAAAATAAACACACAGTGTCGACTCTATCATCATTAATATTGAAATAGAAAAACTGAAGTAGTGGCATTAATTATAATATTGTTAAGTGAACTGGCAGTTTTCACATACTAGAGCAAAACATCCCATTTATCTCTCTGAATTCGTAGATAACTTCATTAATTCAGAATCTCTATTACAGTCCGAAGGAATTTTTCATGCATTCTTACGAAAAATTAGCCGAAACCTTGTAAAAAGTATCAGTGGAAAATTTTCAATTAAGAGAATTGTTTTCACCACATATAATTACTCAAAATTCCTTAAGCGAATAATTTGCTCATATTTTCTGGGATGAATCGATCTAGCTAATAAAAATGAATCAAACAAATTCAAATTACTGTTGTTCGCAGTCAATATAAACTTCCTCTGTATTCTGCCTCATCATTGGAATAGTTAAATAAAAACGAGAGTAGAAAATTGCAGACAGATGACTTCGTTAATGTCTCAGAAGCCTGTGAGCTGAAATAGTATTTTCCAGGCTATTGCGAAGGGTTTTTTTTACTCCTATGGCGATTGGCCTACCTTGTGAGTGAAAAAAACCCATCGCAACAGCCCGGGATAATATTTTTTGTAGTGATTTTCAAGTTTCCAAGTTGGGTGAGTATGCAACACCAATTCCCACGCGAAAAATTCCAAGAAAAGAATTTTTCAAGAGACTCCTCACAAAGACAATAATATTATCCTTCGAAAAGCTTTCGATAATCTCTTTCAAATCCCCTACTCCCCAAGACATTAACGAAATGACGTGTATCCAAAGTTGAATCACCATTAAATAACTACCTCCTAGTATGTCACGTCGTCTCCGAAGCTTTCCTCCCTCGATTCCCCTTTTTACTCTTCACAGGCTCCCCAGCCCCATCATCAGACATGGAAGAGTCCCTCTGCCGATTTCGCCCCCTCCCCACATTCCTCTCCTCATTCTCCGATCCAACAGACTCCCGGTTCGACTTTCTCCTCTGTCTTTGAGGAGGTTGACTGGGTGCCTCCATGACATCCTTCAGATGCTTCCTCTTAGCCTCCCAGAACAACTCCTGCCTCTGGGCAATCTCAGGGTACCTCGTTTGGAATTCCGTGCTAGCTTGCAAAATCAGTTGCCACCCCTTCTTGGGCTGAGTCCTCGCTAGATTCGTGAAGATCTCTTTGATCTCCTCCATCGGCAACTTTATCACCGATGACACAGCCTTCCTATCCACAAACTCATTCTCTGTGAATAGCAGCAGAATATAATCCCTAGCTCTGCACATCAGTTCCGCCGGTATCCCATTATGTGATGATTTTGTATCTTTCGGATAAATCAATTCACTGTTGACTATCCAATTTCCCTGAACCAAAACAGCGACTTGCTGCAGATACTTCAGAATAGCTGACGTCTCATGATCAGAAGCTATTATCGATCTGAGTTGGAAGAACGATAGAATTCTCGCGTCCTTCATGATTATTCGAATCTGATCCAGTAGAGGCAGTGTTCTCACATAAGTCAGAGAGGATGATGCAGGGACATTAGCTTTCGAGTACTCATCGGGCTTGGCAGGAGGTGCCAGAAGCTTGACGTAATCCTTCGTAGAGAGTCTCAAGTTGTTGGCCTTGTCGTCAGCCAAGGCACAGAACATCTCGAATCTCGTGAGGTCTGACTGAGTGCTGTTGACATTTCTGTAAGTCGTGTGGATCCACTTCTCCTCGGAACTCTTCTTCGAGTGCTCTTGGAACGACTGCTCCTTTCTCTTCTGGGCCCACTCTGACTTCTGCCTTGCAAATGTCACGTTCACCTGTCTTGCCTCTTCCTCAGGCTCCTCTTCCGCTGATTTCTTGGCATCCTCTTTCGCGTTCTTCTCGCTCAAGTCGAGGTAGTTGAATTGGGGACGCAGTTGGATTATGCCTTTCAAGGGAGTGACGTGCAGCTCACCATCTTGGAAGATACCCACTGCATAGTTAGAGCAGTCTGGCAAAGCTCTAGAGGACTGGAGGACTATTCTGTCCATCATGCCGCCTTCGAATAATCTGTCTTTGGTGTCTTGCGCAAATCTGTCCATGGGACCGTCTGCGTTTAGAACTATCTGCTCACCCTTTCGGTGGTCGTAGTTCGGACCGCCGGGCTCGATACCCACTTCTATTCGAACCTCTTGGTTCTCTGGTTTTATAGCGGTTTTCAAAAACTCGGCGTTGTCGTAGCCATCCCGCGCTGGCTTTATCGGGTATTGGAAGATGAAAAGTTTGTCCGCGAGGGTCTTTGACAGATAGACCGGGATCTGGGGGGAATTTTCGGGAATTAATTGAGGGCTCAAACGCGGAGAAAAGAGTTTTTCAAATCTTTTAGATGTTTCTCTAAAATTTCCTCGACACAAATTTTCCTAGTTTTTCTTATTCTTGTCTTCTTTTCTTTCTCTCTATATTATAAAAATCCAAATCGACTTCTGGTGATGAAAATTTAGTAGTCGAAATAAGACTGCAAATTTAAGGGTGGCAAGGTCCAAAATAAGGGTCAGAATAAGGGTCATAAGGATCAGAATAATGGTTCAAGTAGGGGTCCAAATAAGGGTTTTTTCAGCAATAATGAACACAAAAAAGAGTGTAAACTAGTTTAATTGCACTACGTTTCGAATGCACAAAGCATTCCTCTTCAGGTGCATTTATTATTCGAAATTAAAACAAAATTAAGGCAATATGTAATATGTATTATGATGACATGTAATGCTAAAATATTTTGTATAACTTGAGGTAACCAATATGGCTCTACTATCAACAGTTATAGATCTTAAGGGGTTGGGGAACAAAAAATGTAAACACCCGAGAGGGTATACAAAAGACGAATAAAATAAAACTAAACTAAACAAAATTGAGAAAATGTTCTTTGAGAATTCATTTCTAGCTGTCATCTGACGATGTAAACAAACAGCAATACCGTTCCGTCATGTTAATCGGATGAAGTCTTAAAGTGCATTTATTATTGAAGTCTTGAAGTGCATTTATTATTCTAAATTAAAACAAAATTAAGATTTGGCTGACCGAAACATGGCCCAGATGAATTTCAATAATTTAAGAACACACGGTCAAGATAACTATTCCATTAAAATCAAACAAACTTTCGGAAAATTTCAGCCGAGGGATCTCAATAGAATAAGTTGTATAAAAAAATCGAATTCTATTGACTTTTTCTACAGAATACTGCCTATTGAACATTTCAATAAAATCGGCCAATAACTGATAGAGATAGGGGAGGTAGGGGCAAAGCGGACCCTCTAAGCGAATCGTTTAGTTTTTTAAATTCTAATGAGTCAATGCACTTCACGTGGAGATCATAATCTCATTAGAATTGCAATTAAGATCTGTCATTAAATTAAAAAAAAAATTAATGTTGGGGCAAAGTGGACCCTCTGTTTTTTAAAAATTATTTTAATTTTCCGTTTGTCAGGAGTCATTGTCATGTTGTTCTACCGATTGGATAGAATGTAATCGCTGTTGATCCAAAACTCACATTTCTTGTTCACAATTAGATCCGCAGGAGCTCACACAAATTTATACTTGCCCTCATTGCATATTTTTTTAGTCAAGGTAGTAAATTTCACTTTATAAAACGTATTATAATAATTCTGGCGACTCGATTCAATAATTTATGTGAGGGTCCACTTTACCCCACACTTTTTTTTTCGAAGGGGTCCGCTTTGCCCCGGGGGTCCGCTTTGCCCCTACCTCCCCTATACCATAGCTGCATTCCTGGTGGCAAAGGACCTTGAGTCACTCAAAATTATACACCATTTTCTTAAGAAATGCCAAATTAGAATTTAAAACACTTGTATCAAACTATGTATTGTAACATTGTATCAATTGTATCAAAAAAAAATCAACCGACGAAGCCAAACATCCTTTGTAACATTTTCAGCAAACTGATTGTAAATAACCCATTGTAGGTTAATACATAAATAAAAAAAAAAAAATCCAATTGACGCAATCTATAATATTTGCATCAAATCTGTACCNTAGCGAATTCGTTAGGTTTATGTGTCATAGAAAAATCCAAGAGAAAATAAAATAGAAAAATCATGCCCAAGAATTTCTCTAGAAAAAATTCCAACAAAATAAATTATACAGAAAAATCAAAATCTACAGACATTTTGCTAAAGAAGTAGCTATTTGAAAACGTGGCGGGCGTTGAAAGACAAATAGAATCTTTTAATATAATTTTTATAGAATCCAATAAAAAATCCAAGCGCTTTCTCTAAGAAATTCTATTGAATTTCCCTCGGAACTATATAAGAATTCTCTTGAAGCTTTATTAGAATTCTATTAATAAAAGTCTATTGTTTTTTGCGCGCTTTCTATAGGAGATTATGCAACTTTACCGTGTCATTTTATTAAGATCTATTTGATAGAAAAAAGTCAATAGATTTTTATGTTTCTATAGAAATCCTTGGACCTAATTTGTCCACATTTCTTCCGTTGTATTTTCATTTGTTGCTCATAGTAAATCCAAGAGAAAAAAAAATTGGAAACAGCATACTCAAGAATTCTTATAGAAAATATTCCAACTGAATAAGTTGTATAGAAAAATCAACAACTATAGATATTTTTCTACAAACAAATATATATTTGAAAATACGGGGGACATCGCATAATTTTCAATAGAATAGGCGCAAAAAACAAATAGAATCTTTGAATAGAATTCTTATCGATTTCCAATAGAAATTCAATAGAATATCGCAGAGAAAGCTATGTTTTTCTATTAAATTTTTCCATACGTGCTGGGATGCTAATATAACCTAGAATTGTCAAAGAGTAGTCTGTCCTTACCTCTTTCACTACTGGATCATCGTCGGTGTCCATTGACCTCGAGGCCTCCATTTTCATTGATAACTGAGTATTGTTTATTGTTTCTAGGGGTTTATTTGTTTAACGAGAGGAGTGAGAGAATCGAGATTGGGGACACGAACGGTGCACCGTTTGAGTGTTTGAAACGAACAGATGATTGAGTACAGTCGGGGGGTGAAGGCCGGTTTTGACTCGGGCGACAGGGGCTGCCGCTAACAACGAACACGGTTTAAATTTTTTAAGACCCGGGTGGATTATCTTTCGGCCGTGATCTTAGTGTTTTTTTTTATTTTCATAATCTGAAATGATCTCCAATTGCTATTCAGTTTTGCATAGCCCTGGAGTCTCCAAAAATTATAATTGAACAACCAAAAAAACGTTGAAAAAAGCTGAACATTTTCAAAGAGAGTTTTTGAATAATATTGGAAAATAAACCCAATACAGAGAAAATTGCAAATTAATAATTTGATGTATCTAGTGACCGTTAGGTCGTCATTTATCACAGTAGTCAATGGCTGTCAGATCATTAGTTACCATGATAAATTATTCATTCTCTATTTCCTCTCTATCGGACTTATTTCTTAATCTTTATTAAAAACGCTCTTTGAAAATGTTCAGTTTTTTTTCTACTTTGTTTGATTATACAATCATAATTTTTAGGTACTCCTGGGGAGCGATTTTACTCGTTTTATGTCGACATAAATCGTAAATTTCAACCAATGACAGTCCTGGATTTGAAATACTCAACTAGGATTGGTTAAAATTTATGATTTTATGTCGACATAAAGCGAGCAAAATCGCTCCCCTGCGTGATATAAAATCCAATGGAAATTGTGATATACTCTCCTCCTATTTCCTCCCATTTACTAAAGATGAAAGAAACGTGAAGTTGTTTTATATCGAAATATCTCGAAACTGCCTGACCGCTAATCCTTAATTCTGATTGGTCAATATGTGACACGAAGTTATTCACAAAAAAAAACACGCGGCATTTTCACATTCTTCAGTGATATAATTTCAAATTCTTCAGAGGTAAATTTTTTTTTCACGTCACATATAGATATAATATATATATTTTACATGTATATATATTATCGGTGAAATTAATAAATTCTATCCTTTTATGGAGACCGATTATTTTAAAAAATTGAAGATAATTAATTGAAAATGAAAAATTCTTTATAGATTCTTTTACTCTACTTCACTATTCACTTCAATCATTAGTCGAATTCTCTTTGATTCATTATCAAATATTTACAAGGTATTCATGAGAAAATGAAATTCAATGAATTCCATTTCTTCACTTCAACAAATGAATAGATCAGCGCGCGCATAGATCTTGTATATTATGAAAATGGAAAAACAATCGAGATAAAGTTCGAAAGATAATCCAACCGGGCCTTAAGCGAATAATTTTCGGTAAATTGTTGTTATTGTTAAACGTTTTTTAAGAAACATTTCTCAGTTTGGTATGGAGATCTCGAAACGATTACTTTTTTCACGCATTCCTTTTTTATACATAAAAAAATAAGCGCACTTGTTTAAATTTGAGGGAGTTCAAGGCGAAATAAGCACTCAACCGATTAAAACTACATATGAGGTATTGCATGTCGAATGAGTCAATGACTGACCCTCACCCTCTTGAAAATTGATTTCGATTTTTTCTATGAGTGGGGGACTAGAAAAGCTATCTCAATTTTTTTCAGATTTTTCCAACAGCCCATTTCGGAGATATGATTTTTTTCTTTGCTTTTTCGTTTTTTTTTTCAATAACTCCAGGTCTATTCATCCGATTTTGATTTACGATAAGCCAAAATTTTCGATTTTCTACTATCCATAAGAATATTTTGAGTAATTTTTTTTTCAACCCCCAAGTGCTCAAAATACCAAATTAAAAAAAAATGAAAAACTTGAATTTTCAAAATGATGTCACGTTTGATTCTTCTCGTCTTTTTTCAGTAATTCTTGTAATCAAAACAAGTATTTTGAGCCGTCATACAAAGAGTAGATTTCTTGTCGTTTTTCAGAATTCTGCCTGACAATTGTAGGGGAGGGTGGGTCCATTCAATTTTTTTTAAATCATTCATAACTCAGAAACAAATTTATCAATTGAGCTCAGTTTAGGCTCGTCTCGAAGGGAAAGAATTGTTCTTTGTATTGAACCTTTTAAAAAAGTCAAAACTGTCCGTTTTACTCCAATCTCCCCTATTAGAAAATTGTTTTTATAAGTATCAAAAACACGTACCCATCTGCCAATGCATCCTCACCTTCCTGAGAATTTTATATGCAAAGATTCATTAACGAAGACTCAAAAACACTTCTTGACACCCACGAAAAAATTTAATACAAAAACCTAGTGAATTCGTTAGAAAATTCTATTGGATTACTATTGAACTTTCTGTTAGTTTTTGGGCGATTCTATTGAAATGTTCAATAGAAAATATTCAAGAAAAAAATCGAGTAGAATTCGATTGTTTTATGACTTATTATCTTTAGATATTTTCTAGAGAACTCGGCTAAAATTTTCTAAATTTTTTTCATTCTTTTTTTCTTGTCTTCTCATCAAGAAAATCAAACAAAAAACATGAAAATTTGAGCCAAGGAAATTTCTACAGGAAATATCTCAATCGAATAAATTATATAGAACAATCGAATTCTATTGACTTTTTCTACTGAATATTTCAATACAATGGGTCAAAAACTAATAGAAAATTCAAGAGAAATCCAATAGAATTTTCCTACGAATTCGCTAGGTTTTTCTTTTAAATTTTTTCATCTGTGTAAAAATAACAACTCACGAACTAGATTTCTAAACAATGTTTACGGGTCCCCAACTACCCCAAGCTGATTAAAGTTTTCAATTGTTCATAACAACACCAACCACTCATGGACTGAACTTCTAAACAATTTTTACGAGTCCATCACGGACGAAAAAATTTAATATAAAAACCTATCGAATTCGTTAGAAAATTCTATTGAATTTCTATTGAACTGTTCTATTAGTTTTTCTTTGGAATCAAAAGAAAATATTCAGTAGAAAAAGTCAATAGAATTCAATTTTTCTGTATTATACCTTATTCTATTCAGATATTTTCTATAGAATTTCCTCGGCTCAAATTTTCCATGTTTTTTCGTTTAATTTTCTTGATGAGAAGAAAAGAAAAATAGAATGAAAAAAAACATAGAAAATTTGAGTCGAGCAAATTCTATAGAAAATATATGAACAGAATAAGTTAAGAAAAATCGAATTCTGTTGACTTTTTCAATTGAATGTTTTCTATTGAACATGTCAATAGAATCAGCCAAAAACTAATAGAAAGTTTAACAGAAATTTAATTGAATTTTCTAACGAATTCGATAGGTTTTTCTATTAATTTTTTTCGTGCGTGATAACATTCCCAGACAGGTTAAAATCCGCCAATTGTTCATCACAAAGCCCAGAACTGAATATTACACCCACAATTTCAGAAAAATTACAGTCAAATTAAAGAAGAAATTATCTATTAAACGATATTATGCACTTGATCGAAATATTAACCCACAATTAACTAGAAAATCACGAAATCAACGCACAAATGAGATCAACGTCTCCTCTCTGCGATCTCAGCATCCAACTGACGCCATCTTGATATCGATTTCTCTAAAAAGATCCCCGAAATTCTCTAAAAATCATCAAACATCAAATAATCTGAATTCTCAACATCTCAGTTAATTTCTCTTCCCCGAATATTGAATTATGATTTTTTTTCATGGAAAAAAATATCGTGCATCCGCTGGCGCGGAAAAATACAAACTTCACGATTTTCGAATCACACCGGAAGTGGTGGTTTCATGGAAACAGTACAATTCTTTCTAACCTAAAAAAACAGAAGACTGATGGTGCTGATGATACAGTTTGATGAGTTGGATTGACTTGGATCCAGTGACAAGTGACAACGAATTTTCTAGACTTCTTACGAAACTCTCGTTGCAGTAAACTAGATAAACAATTATCAATTCATGTGCTGATATGCAGAAAAATCCCAATATTTCCTGTCTTGTCGGAGCATCCGATGAAATTGCCAAACCAATTGATGTCGTCGTCAAAGTTTACAAGTACGGCTAGAATTAATTCATTACCATATACGAAAATTTTTAATAAGAATTCACGTATGAAAAAATTCAATAGAAAACCAGCTACTTACAGCTAGCAGGGGGTAGGGCGGAATGCAAATTTGGATTATTGCAATCGCTTGGTGGTTCGAAGGTGGTCAAAGGTAGTCCACTTTTAGCTTTTTGGTGGTAAAAATCAATTAACTATAAATAATCAAAAATTTCACCTGCAGCCAGCGGGAGGGATGCATCTTTTTGAAAAATTCAACATATGAATTTATATGTAGAATCCTGTGGTGGTCAAAGGGGGTCCAACACCAAATTCATCCGTTCATTTTTTCAACTGATAATAAATAATGTTTATCGGGTCTGTCTTACCGAGAGGTACTCCCCCCACCACTTCCCACTCCGGGCCCTTTAAATCATTTCGGAGCACGTTTGGAGGTTAGAAAATTGGTTTAATGAATAAGAATCTCAGACTTAAGTTCTTTTGCTATTCAATTTGTGTTTTTTTAATGAACGTGGAGTGAATACTACAAAAAAAACATAATTGAACTTATAACGGAGCATTATTCGTCCGAGTATAATCGTAATCAATTGTGTGGAAGTGACACTGAGAAGATGACGATCGAAAAAAATGCAACGATAAATGACAAATCATTTTCCCCGCTCCTGTTTTTTAGATCTACAGTAGTACAATCACACTGTTCAAAACTGATTGAACCCATGTGACAGCTCCAGAATAAATTCATCAAGGAGTTGAACCACCTGACCAGTATACATATACGAGATGACGTGAATCCTGAAAGGAATTATTCATTTAGAGTCATCACTTTTTCATTCCGTTGATTCACGGGCACCAGGAGAAGAGGAAGCTCCAGCTGCATTATGCTAGTGGTAGTGACCATCTCGAGGCTGTTCCAGGGTAAAATGTGATTAGAAACTCATCTCGAGGAAGCAAGGGTTCAGGAAGAAATACCAGCCCCATTATTATTTTTTTTTTCAAAAGCTTAGAACATGACACAAAAGGTCTCTACAGCTGGATGAAAAACCATAAGTTTCAGGAATATATGAGGAAGATTTTTCAGGACGGTGAAACCGAGTGTGAAATAATACAGTGCAAACAATGCAGTATGCACAGCGTGAAAATCATTTTCTGCCGAATTTGTTAGACTTTCAAAGATCGGTGGGTCTGGTGAAACATCTCCAAAAATTGTTTCGATAGAGAATTAATTTTCTTCCGTGATCATCTCTCGTAATATTCCGGAATTCTCAATCGCTTCCA